TGCAACAATTTATTCAACAATTTCGGTCCTCTATTTTGCATTCCCAAGGTTGTGTCGTTTCTTTTCATTCTTTTTGTTTATGTCTTTTCTTTTCTTTTCACTTGGTTGTCTTGTCTTTTGTGTTTTATACATTGCAGGCAATGTGTGCTTTAAGTGTGGGGGAGAGGAATATTTGTGTTTGTGTTTATCTTTCTTAAATAAAAAAAAAAACCATAAAAATTGAAAAAATTGAAAAATCCAAAAAGGCCTATGATGAAGATGGTTTAATTATCTATAACATGTAAGAATTAGACTATTTTGAATTGTATTGTTTAACTTATGTATTTATATATGTTGTTTTGAATACCATGCTTTATGTGCACTTAGTCGTGACTGTGGGATAAGCCTAAAGTAAGATATAGTTGCATGAGTTTGATGTAGTTATGCCATGAAAAGTTATGTTTGATTCACTCATACTTATAATTTGTATGTGGAACCCATCATGTTGTGAAGGAAAAGTAAGGCATTAACCCAATATCAGCCTTAAAAAACCTTATTGCTTTGACACTTTGTGTTAAGTAAATTTGGGGGAGGGGTGTTGGCGGATGCTTTTGAGGTTAGATTAAATTTAATGAGGGAGGAAAGGAAGAGCATTCAATATTGATGCTAGCCCCATTGAGAGGTGAGGAAATGGCAACCATGAGTGGAGAGTCCTCAGGCCTGGTGAGAAAAAATAGATATATAGACTGCCCTAAGTTGCTGAGCCACTATGTATAGGAGTGAAAAAATGCTCTGGGTAGTGGCCTAAGTCGGAAAGAGTCCTGAAGAAAAACCGCATGGACTGAAGAATGGGTTACGATGGGGAATAGGTTGTCTGTGAGATAAGTCCTTCTACTTCATAGTATGTTTGGTGGTCCATTGTATTGAAATATGGTATGATATGTGAGTCTGTTGTTAAAGTAAAATGACATATTTGCAGTAGATCTTTTGTTTTCTATGTTAAATGTAAAGTGATGTCCCTAAGAAACGAATCGCGCACACACACAAGCGTGGGGGTTAAAAGTGCATATGGTTTGCATTTTGTTAGGTAGTGCATATTAGAGGTAGTCGAGATCTTTGTGTAATATGATATTAAATCTCTGAGGCCGCCAAAATTAAATAATTAACTGTTTTTATTTGTTTTAATCTTTGGAGATGCTTGAGGACAAGCAATAATTCAAGTTTGGGGGTATTTGATATGTTTATATTTTACCTATTTATTATATCCCTAATTTGTGATTTTTGCAATAAATTTTGAGTACAAATATGCTATTTATATGATTTTATCTTTATTTGTAAGTTTTGTACTCAAATGAAAGAATTGTTGATGTTTTGGACTAAATTGAAAAGAAAAAGCAACTCAAAGGGAGAATTGAAGATTTGTTAAATTGACAAGGAAGAAATTGAAGCACTTGAAGAGTTGGAGGAGTTTTAATTTAAATTGGCTTGAAAAAAAAAATAACTTTCTTATTCTTGAAGAAATAGAGTTTGAGAAAAGCCTATAAAAAGAGGACTAGGGTTTTATTTTTGGAGACAGAGAAAAAAAAACATGCACCACCACCTTGAGCCTACGCCCAAAATTCCTCTTCTCCACTACCACGCACACCAGCCCGCACCATCATCATCACCACGCATCATCACCATCTCATCCCATCAACATCACCTTAATCATCATCGTTATCGTCATCATCAAACCCTTACTTCCACCGCACAACCGAAGTCTCCAACACCAGCTTGTCATCATCACCATCAGCCGAGAAGAACCGTACACACTAGAAGCAAGCAGCAGCATGAATCAACTCCGGGACGAAAGCCTTCGGATTCGCTTCACGGAAGGACAAGTTTTACGGCCTTGATTTTCTTCCGGGTTTTTGGTGTTTTAATTCCTTTAATTTCAGACTTTGTGTGGATGATGTTTCTAAATATTATTGAATTATTCTTGATGATGTTTAGTAGCTAAACTCCTTTAACCTAGGCTTGGATGTAACCGCCGGATTTATTTGGTTTATTTTGTTCATTATTATTTGACTTTTCCATTAACTAATATATGTTATTCTTGTTTTAATTCGTGCAAGTAATTCGCTACTATTTGCATGTCTGAAGATACTAATCAAAGTAGCGAGAGTGAAAGATTAGTATTAGTTCGTAGGAATAATAGACTTATGGTGTAAGCTACGAGAGTAAGATTATAACATTTGCAACGTTAGTTTCTTAAGTTCTTAATGTGCTTTTGTTAATCCCTATAATCACGAGAGTAGTCATAGGGTTAATCTAAGTAAGAGAATTATAACACGAGAGTGTATAGTTCTTAATTAGGTGAGTCGTTATGAGATTAATGGAAGTTAAAAGTCAAATACTTATGAGTTGAACTAAACCAAATATTCGGTAGGTGAACCCAATGTCCTAGATTTTCCCAACTTGATTGTTTCCACCTTTGAAAGTAATTGCATATTTTAGATTTTAGCTTTAGTTTTATTTTAATTGAAAATCTGAGATCATCATTTATTTAGATAATAATAGGAGTAATTTATACTTGGTAATTAGTATTCCTTCTTTGTGGGTACGACCCTATTTTTCACTATACTAGTGTTAAGTAGATGAATTTATTTGAGTAGTTGTGATGACGGCTTGTCACAAATGCTATATGAGAAATAGCATTACTGGTTAAAGCTTGAATGGAAGATCAAACATCCAAATCGAAATATCCTTGCGCTGAAAGACATTTCTCCCGTTTCTCCAATATTTCATTGGCACACAAACGAAAAGCCGGTAGCATAAGCTAATAATATCAACAATCAAAATAACTCGAATAAGTACTGGTGCCGACTACGAAAATATTTTATAGAAAAATTAACTTCATTTGAATTAGAAAAATATTTTAACTTTAGAAAATAAAAATTTGTAAATTGGATAACATAATCTTTCTAGCATAAAATTATTAATATGAAAAATTGAATAAAGTATGTATTCTTTTATCAACTTTGTAACATTTTTTTGTTAATATAAATTTCACCAATTCACATTCAAAACTCAATATGGACTATTTTTTCGGGACATAAGGAGTATTTTAGCATTAAGCACGATGAAAAGAATATACGTATATAGTATTGGATTCAGTCATGTTGGGTACATACCATTTTTCTTGATGTTTTCGACGACAAAACGCTAACTATTACCGGCTGGATATCATCGACATCATCTTTGCTCATTGACTTTGATTTAGCTACTTTAATCATCTTGGCATATTCTCTCAAGTCACCAAAAATTGGTGTATAGGAATTTCCAGTTAGACCTTGTGCTCTGAGTTGCTTCTCAAGCTTTCTTGGCTGAAACCAAAACAAATTCAACGCTTTCCATGCACAAAATAAAAACACAAAAACACATGAAAATGTAAGCAACATTGTGTAATTCCTATAAATTTATGAAAATGAAAATGGGGTTTTGAAGTTTTAAATAACATAGAATCAATGAACATTATCTCCAATCCATATCGTGCATTGAGAGGGTGTCTGGAGGAAGATTCCTTTTATAGACAACAATGGTTTTGATCCAACGACTCGAACTGTTAATGGATCTATCGAGGGAATGATTCAGTTAATGTAATATATCATGATGTCTCAAAACGGTTGTGTTGTTTGAAACTTATAATTTTAGTACAAAGTTTGTATTATATATAAAAATTCAAATTGAATAATTATTTCTGGACAGAAGAGATTTCTTGTAGCACAGTGATTGGCCGATTTTAGCATGAAGGTTAAGAAATTAAAGCTCCTGGTGAAATTGTGAACTTGTTTGTCTTTTATTTTATTTTACTTTTTACAAACGAGAAAAGATAAAAGTCACATTTTATTAAATTGTAGGGAGTAAAATTATTACACACCGCACGAATACTATTGAACAAATCAAGCACCCAATATTATTATGGCCGAGCAATTTAAAATGTATCATAATATTTTCTTTTTAGCTTGAAAACATGAAAATCAATTCGTGATAAAAATATAAAATTAAATTTTCTTAATCTTAAATTTTTCTTTTAAAGAACATAAAGAATGCGATCTTATAATTAGAGACACATGAACAGTATTCTTTTATTTTATTTTTTTTTTATGGGGTGCAACCAGAGTTGAGAATTGAAATTTCTACATGTTGTAAGTGAAATACACCGATAAATATTATACTCTAATTCAACTGTGGTTCAGAAAAATGATGATATCCTATTCGAGAAATAACTGGGTTGCTTCGAAAGAAACTAATTAAATTGGAATGAAATTCGTCTCTCTAAATACATTTAATTATCACCTTCGAATTTGGTAATTTATGTTCTCCGTACTCTAATTTAGAAGGCTAGCCAACCAATGAAGATCATTTTCTAGAGAATAGATTAATTAAGCCCTTCAAGGACGGGCTCTAGCCAACTTTAGAAATTCATTAATCGTGTACTCTATTCGTTTAAGAAAAATAATCCACTCGTATTTTCTTGCCAACCATAGATGATGGCTTGCAGCCGCCATTCTCCACTTCAAGATGTAAAATGTGTTGTGGTCAACGATTTGGCGCGAGGTTATGTCTCATTCATTAATCTTAAAAAGTAAGGATGAATATAGAAAGGGATAACCATCTCTCTAGCAAAACCTAACAAAAATAATATCGATCCGAAATCAAATCTTTTCTGCCAACAACCTACCCTCTCTAGGCTGCCATAGACGCGGCTAGTTACTTAAATGAATCTACATCAAATGCCATTAATCTTCCTTATGAATTCAAAAAGTTTAGGTAATTATATATTTTCTATCCACATTGAGTTTTGAGATCTATATTACGCACTATTTTTCTGGGATGGAGGAAATAGCTTATTGTGCCAATAAATTGATGAATACATATCTTTGAAGTTTGATAGAAGTTCTATATGTTCTATATATATATATATATATATATATATATATATATATATATATTAGTCTTTTCAATCAAAACTAGTTACAAAAAAACTTGATGTAAAGTTTTTAAAATATGTCATCTAACACAAACTATACTTCCCAAAACTTTGCCCAAAATGGAGGCGCCATTGGTACTACATCATCATGTAGAGTGGCAGTTGTGATGATACCATATCCTGATCATGGTCATCTCAACCAACTCCTTCATCTGTCTCGATTAATTTCTTCCTACAACATCCCGGTCCACTTTGTTAGCATCCCCGTCGCGCCGGCCTGGAAATCGGTGCATTCCAACGTTCATTTCCACGACATTTGCATCCCATTTCCGGTTTCCAGAACAAAATTCATCTCACCAAAAATTCCATCATTTGAAGCAATGGTGTCCGTTGTGAGTCTCCATTGCGAACCTATAATAACGCTGGTCGAAAAACTATCGAATGCCACCGAAAGAATCATTGTCATTCACGATTCCTTGATGTTCAATGTCGCGAAAATGGTGCTGGCAACTTGTTCAACATTGTTAACGAAACAGGACATATACAGTTTTACTGCAAGCTCGGCTTTTGATTATTACGCGAATCGCCAACTATTTAATGGAAAACCTATATTAATTGATGGTGAACCCGCCAAGATTTTCCCATCTGTAAGAAAGACTGTGCCAGTACCCGGGTTCGATTTCAAGAAATTCTTAGAGGAGTCCTACGCTTTCAACCATAAAAATGTACTTAACACTAGCCGTTTAATAGAAGGCGGGTTCATCGATCTGATGGCGAAAAAGATTGATGCTAATGAATCAGATGAGGAGAACGAGAAGTGGGCTATCGGACCTTGGATTCCCTCACAAATACTATTAACTGGTGAAGGAAATACAATTGCTAGAAACCGTGACAAATGCTTAGAATGGCTAGAGAAACAGAGTCAGAACTCTGTTCTGTTTGTTTGCTTTGGCACAACTAGTACACTGTCCGCTGAACAGATCAAAGAGATCGCGGTTGGATTAGAAATTAGTGGCTATTCATTTATTTGGGTCATTCCAGAACCCGAGGATGGAGATGCTAAAGATGGAGCTGTGCCGCCACAAGATTTCGAAGAAATAGTTCACCAAAGGGGAATGATTGTAAGAGATTGGGCACCCCAGTTGGAAATATTATGCCATTCTTCGACCGGGGGATTCGTGAGTCATTGTGGATGGAATTCATGTATGGAGAGTATTTCCATGGGAGTTCCAATGGCTGCTTGGCCAATGCAAACTGATCAGCCCATGAATGCGTTTCTGATTACTCAAGTTCTGAAAGTTGGTCTAATGGTGAGAGATTGGGAAAATGGATATGGATTGGTAAAATCTTCTGCCATTGCGAAAGCGGTGAGGAGATTGATGGGTTCTGATGAGGGAAATAAAATCAGACGAAGGGCTAAAGAATTAAGTGATGCCGTTAAGGGATCTATCAAAGGTAATGGCGCTACTGAAGAGATGGACCGTTTCATTGCTCATATTACTAGGTAGTTTTTTCTTTTTCCAAAATAATAAGTATCCAATCACTTTCAGTCGGAACCTTACAGGGTTTTAATTCATATTTCTAGTACAACGGCAACCTGAAATCCAAATGTTAGTTGCTTGAGTAAGTTTTAACTGCGGAGAACAGACTGTTACAAAACAAAGGTTTTGGACTTTTATTTTACTTTTTATTTTGTTTGTGTGTACTACGTGTGTACATTTTTATTTTCAGTTTATTTTTGGTACACCGTACATTTTTATTTTTGTTAGACCAAATGTTTAGATAAACTAAATTACCTTTACGAAGGCATCAGTTGATTTACCGTATTTGAACGGCAAATAGAAGGTTGTAGGCAGTGAAATAAACCTCTAAATTCAGTAACTAGAATTCAGCGAAGATGAGGAGAAACTGTTGTCACAATAGATACCCTGTAAATATGAAAAGAAATAATCAAGATTTTTCTACATAAATACTTTAAAACCTTTAACTTTGACCATTGGAATGATAACCACAATAATTTGTTTGAATGTTACTTTACACATTTCTGTTTGTACGTTGGGAAATCTATATTATACTAAAGAAAGTCGGTTCATTCTTCATTTATCATAAAATAATTATCCAGATTAATATATGATCGTACAACAATAAATATGAATCTGTTTTTTTTTCCTTCTACTTTTGTTACTTCACGTCCGAATTTCGTCATATATTGTATTTCTGTTGCAAGATCATTTAGAACTAATCGTATAACCTAACTCAATAAGTAAATAAATAAATAATAAAAAACTTAACAAAATATCACATTTTTTTAATTGTATTGTCTCGTCTCCATCGACTTTTTGAACCACCATTTGTGGTAAAACAACTTTTTGAAATAAAAGAGACGCATCACATATTCTCCGTCCAGAAATGATAATGGTCCACTTGAGTTTTTTCATTTTTAGTATAAATTGTACTAAAACTGAAAATATAAATTGACAATCATTTCGATACATAGAGAGTATAATAATCTCAATAAAACTCTGAATTTATGAGTTCATACGTATAACATTGCAACTGCTTATATGCTATTTAGCTTTACAAATTAGTTAAGTTGTGTTCTCCATACTCTATATTAACTAAGATTGCCCACCAACAAGTTAGGCACTCCCTCAGTTATAATGCAAGAAGAAGATCCTCTATATCCACATCTACAAGAACGATCTATTCATGGAGACCTTGAAGGTATCTTGGATTGATTAATTGCATTTTCACTAAGAGATATTAAACTAGTCATTATCTTGGTGGTAATTACAGCTAATTTTCGAATCCATACACATTAGTTAGCTAGGTCGCCGCCCTAGTTCTGTAGTAGCCAAGGATCGAGTTGGTATCGTCGTGATATTGCCTCATGTGCCCGTTTCTAAGGTTGAAGATTTAAAACACACCAACTACAGTTATATCTCTAGCGAGGATGCCGTAATTTAGGGGAAACGCTTCAGTTAGGCAATGCAAGCTACAACATAGGCCACACCATAGATACGGCGCAGAACTGGAATTCCCATTTCTCAACATAAATTCAACAATTCAATGGCACCAATATTTGCATTAGTTGCGCCAACAGAATATACCTTGCTGGCACATTTTGAGATGAAATCAGAGCTGCTCTTTAGCCTTCAATCTCACAAGTCTCGAACAAATTGATAAAACTTAACGAGTCCAAAAAACAATGTCCACTTACCCAAATGTTACTCCAACAAACTCTGCTCAACAACGAGGCAATGATGATGATACATCCTCAAGAGTGGCTGTTTTGATGTTACCATTTCCTGGCCATAACCATATTAACCAACTCCTCCATCTCTCTCGGAGCTTTTTGTCCTACAACATCTCCGTCCATTTTGTTAGCACCCTCGTCACGCCTGCCCGGCGATTGGCGGAGAATATTAACATTCACTTCCATGAGATTCAAATCCCTTTTTCCATGTCCAATACAAAATCCCTCAGCCCAAATACTCCATCGTCAGATTCCTTGCCATATTTGATTCATCTCCATTGTGAACCTGCGAAAATGCTAGTAGAGAGACTCTCTAAAGAAATCGAAAGGATCATTGTCATTCATGACTCTCTAATGTTCAAAGTTGCGAGAATGGTACTAGCAACTTGTTCCACATTGATAGCGAAACAGGACATCTATAGCTTTGCTTCGAGCTCGGCATTTTGTTATTACGTGACTCGTCAACTATTGATGGGGAAACCTATATTAATCGATGGCGAACCCACGAAGAATCTCTCATCCCTTCAAAGAAATTGGTCGATGATGAAGACCGAATTTAAGGACTCTTTAAGGGAATCCCATACATTCAACCATAGAAATATAATCAACACCAGCCGTGTGATAGAAGGTCAATTCATCAACCTCATTGCTGAAAAGACCAATCCCAACGAATTAGATGAGGATAATGAGAAATGGGCCATTGGACCTTTGAATTCCTTACAAATATCAGTAAGAGAGGGAAGTACAAACGTTACACACCGCGACAAATGCTTAGAATGGCTTGCCAAACAGAGTCAGAACTCTGTTCTGTTTGTTTGCTTTGGTACTACCACTGAATTCTCTACTGAACAGATCAGAGAGATCTGCATCGGGTTAGAGAAAAGCGGGCATTGTTTCATCTGGGTTGTTCCAGAAACCCAGAGGGAAGATGGAAAAGATGGAGCATGGCCAAAAGATTTCGAAAATAGAGTTCGGGAAAGGGGATTGATTGTGAAAGATTGGGTGACCCAATTGGAAATACTGAGTCATTGTTCAACTGGAGGATTCTTAACTTATTGTGGATGGAATTCATGTATAGAGAGCATTTCCATGGGAGTCCCAATGGCTGCTTGGCCAATCAACACTGATCAGCCCATGAATGCTATTCTGATCACTCAAATTCTGAAAGTTGGTCTGATGGTGGGAGATTGGGAAAATAGAAATGAATTGGTCAAATCTTCCTCCATTGAAGAAGTTGTCAAGAGATTAATGGGTTCTGATGAGGGAAATCAACTCAGGCAAAAGGCTAAAGAGTTAAGTGATGCTGTGAAGGGATCAGTCAAAGAAGGAAGATGCGCCACTGAAGAGATGGAAGCTTTTATTGCTCATATTACCAGGTACAGATTTTTTTTTTTCCTTTTAAAAATAATAATTACAGTGCTAAAATCAAGACGTCGGAGTAAGAATCTTTTAAAAATTTTGTTTGTTTTAATAGGCATGAAAAAAGCTCAAATCGTTTGACCAATAACTCAACGAGCGGATCAGTTACTATTGCTGGTGAACACCGTGCTATATGCATAAAAAGAAACATGAAACCTATTGATTGGTAAAGTCATACTTTAAACTATAGGTCGTCGGTGATAAATTGATGGACAGAAAAACATGCAATTACATGTTTGAGCTAGAAGTTGGAAAATTCAAAATTGCATGTTCTTTGAAGATTACTCGCTCACCAGTTGAGGCTCTCTCCCATTTTTTGGAATGTGCAGCAAGCATCGGAAATCTTCACTTTATCTCCTTCGGAATTTCTGTCACCACCATATCCATTGTTTTGGTCGTGCCCCATGTAGTAAGACTCCTGTTTCCTCCAAGTAAGTATATATATATATATATATATATATATATATATATATATATATATGATAAATATTTATGCGGAGGTATTTCTCAAAAAAATAATAAATAAATAAACTAACACCTTCAAAAGTATTACTCTTTCTGTCTCAAATTAATTAGTCTCTATGGATTTTAATATTTATTAAAATTTGTATTAAAAGTAAAAATTCATATATAACAATCGCTTCAAGATAGAAAGATTAGTAACAATTAGTATAATGTGTAAATAATTAAACACGTTTTTAAATACTTACTCCGTCCTGAAATTATTGTCCAATTTAGATTTTTGTCTTCAATTCAAATAATACTAAAAGTGAAATCCCAAATTGGACCATAATTTTGGGACGAAAAGAGTATTTACAAAGGGCTATTAACTCTAGAACCACAATATATATTTTGCTCCTTAGGCCTTAACTATATCTTCTTATTAAAAACTGTGAGACAAAAATATTGGGACAAAGAATTTCACATCGGTGTCGTGAATGATGTCACCTATTTATAAGTGCCAAAGGTCAATCCACTCATAACCAATTGGTTTTGAGATGGGAGCCCAAAGTGAATTTGACGTGGTATTAGAACGGTCTAGGCCTGTGGTGGAGTTTTGGGCCGGAGGTGGCCTGTGGTGATTTTATCTTAATCCACTTGAGCGTTGACTCGTGGGCTTGTTGTGGACCGATCCAGCGGTATAACTGGTTTTTTTTCCACTAGAACGTTGATTCGTGGGCTTGTTGTGGACCGACCCAGCGGTATAACTGGTTTTCTCCCATTAGAGCGTTGACTCGTGGGCTTTCTGTTCTTATTCCTATCCAATTTCATTGGGCAAAAAGTTCAAATACACATTGGACTTGAGGTATGGTGTTAGGGTGTATTATCTGTCCCACATTGCCACCATGAAGAAAAGTGACTTAGTATATAAGTGCCAAAGGCCACCCCACTCATTGCCAATTGGTTTTGAGATCGGAGCTAAAAAATACTTATATACTTTAACATGGTATCAGAGCCCACAATCAATAGACCTGTGATAACTATGGACCTGCGTGTGCGGGTTTGGACCCGTGTGCCTTGGACTTGCGTCAATCACTTCCGTGTGCACGGGTGGGTTTGTGGACTGATCCGACAGTATATCTGGAGTATATACCCATATGTACGGCTTGTTGACTGACCCGGCAGTATATCCAGAGTTGTGGACTGATCCAGCAGTATATCTGGTGAATTATGTTGTGTTGTGCAACCCCAATTGGCTAAATACCCCATTGAGCTTGAGGGAGAATATTGGGACAAAGAATCCCATATCGGTATCGTGAAAGATCTGTCACCTATTTGTAAGTGTCAAGGCTAACCCACTCATAGACCATTGATTTTGAGATGAGAGTCTAAGGTGACTTTGACAAAAAAAACTTATGGTTGATGCTTGTGATGACCCAAGAGTCATATTACCTTACGGAGGGGGAAGTGATACATCTAACATAACGTAGGGGGGCAATTTTACTCTCTTCGTCCTCAAAAATAGTTCAACATTTGAAATTTGCATTCTTTTCTAATATAAATTTCAAAATGTAATGTAGATTTTTTTTTTGGACAGAAAGAGTATAAAGCATTTAGAATCTAATCAGGATAACACATTTATTGAGTCATGCTTACTAATATAGGCGTTTAATTGCATCTAATAAGGATAACACATTTTTGAGTCATGCTTACTAATTTAGGCGTTTAATTGCCAATATCTTTTCTTGTTTTTTCTTATGTTTTGGCAAAATTATAAAAATTGATTTTAATACGGAGTAAAAAATGGTTAGCCTCGTTGTGAACAGAAGAAAGTCGCCTTGACCGTGTGGTTTAAGGCGTACGCTTGCTGTACATTTGGGCATACATTTGAGGTAGGGATCTTACGAAACCTAATTTACCTTTTCTTTTTGGCACCAAAATTTCGTCGCTTTCCTCCGTAGTTTTAATCCCAGTGGCGAGGATAAGGGCTTGAATACCTTTTCTTCCGGAAATCGTCTTAAGGACTTAAGGTAATATGATCGATTTTTTGCTGCTTGAATTTTAATAATGAATTGACAAAATTGTTTTGTTATCAATCAGTTTCCTGTTCTATTACAGTTCATGATAACCAGCTGTAACTTTATTATGCTGATTGATAGTCCTGTTCTATCCTGTGGATTTGTTTGGTAGTCCTGTACCGGGATTTTTATGCTTCCTTTTTTTTGTTTTTCAATTTCGATATGGTTTCTTGGTTTTTCATTGATTTTGTGTGCTTGATTAAGTTACATTAACTTGGAAACAATCTATTTTGTTTGTTTAGAATCATCGGAAATACTTTTTTCGCCTCTACAAACGAGATATATTTATTGAATTAAAACACTATTACAAAGGTGCATGTCACTTTTTTGGGCTGGAGAAAGTATAAGTTTGCCGTAATGTTCATCATTTGGTTGCCTTTTGAATATAAAGCTGACTATTTAATCAATCGAACTATCGAAGCATCAGCTGTTACATATATATGTTCTACATTACAAACATCCTTGCGTTTTAAAGTGTCTTTTGCTTCTCTATATTGTCATATCTGCGATTTGAGCTCTCTTGTTGTTCCTTCTACTTTTCAAGAAATTCATTGTCGTGTTTTTTGTGGAGGATTTATAGTTATTAAATATGTCTTCGCTCGAGTTATATCTCAGTTTGGTGGATTTCAATTGTTGTAATATCGGCTGCTTTTTCAGTTTTTTTAAAGAATGAAGAAATGATGGAGATTCTTTACTACTTTACTATACTAGTATCATATAGATTCATGTTTTTGTCAAAAAAAATTAGATGGTTACAACGAGAATCGAACCCTCGACTTTGTGGTAAATAATTATCCCGATCCTGTTCCCCTGTCCATCCCAACCAACCCACCACCCTTAGATTCATGGTTCAGGTATCATATTTGTCTCTCTTCCTGTAAACCTCGGTCTTTTTTCTTTTCTGAAATAGTGAATGATATTCCACTATTGAAAGCTGGAAGGCAAAGTGGAAAAGAACATTTTTTTTCTCAAGGTTGTGGTTTTGTAACAGTTTACATTGATGGAGAACAAGGAGAAAGTAGTTGCCGGTTTCGGAACATCCAACGGGGCTTTTAGCATTACTGAGTTGCCAGATGACATTCTGGGGAAAGTCTTGTCACGCTTGGACATAAAAGAAGCTGCAGGGACATCAATCCTTTCTCATAGATATTAGATGGACCAAACTTTGGGAAGTTTATTCTGATACCTTAGATTTCGAGTCTAGAGACACTATGATGCGACTCATGATGGATGATAGGGTGAGGCAAGTAGAAATATCGCGTTATGAAGCTAAAATATTTCATCGTTGGGTGGATTATTCTCAGTTAAAGGATTCTGAACCCTTTAACAAGGAGAAAAAATAAAATAAAATAAAAATTCAAAAGGTTCATTTAAACCTTAGACAATAATTAGGTGCCGTGATTATAAATAACAAGTGGCTGTACATAACACTTCATTATATTTCAAGTTTTTTGGTGTTGATATCCTACTTGTAATCTTCTTTTTCTTTCTTTCTTTATTTATTTTTTTTCTGTATAGTGAAGGACAGTGTGTTTGAGCCAAAGCTTATGCCGGTGGATTGTTTAATAACAATTCAGAATTTGGGCGTGGATATGATACCATTAGAATATTATGAAAATGATGCACAACAGAGGAATTTGACTGCCGTCGACTTTTACGTCGGCTTTAAATAACGTGACAAAATAGTCGATGCCAAAAGTTTCAAATATATAAATAACTTGTGACTTTCAATTCTGAGAAAATCTTCCATAAAACAAAACTAAGGATTTTGTGTTTTATCGATTTTATCATGGGCTTTTGTAAAATAGACAAAACGTCCAGACTAACAATCTCAACAAAATAGAAGCATTTTGTGATTTTTATATTGATATCGACAAAACAACTAAATATTTTAAACCTACAAACTTTTTTTTTTTTTTTGAAGACAAACTAATTTTAAACCTACAAACTTTTCAATGTGCATTAAAAAAACAAAATCAATGGTGAAATTTTTCAATAGATTTTTGGACCGCGCATAATTTTTAGTCTGATTCTGAAAGCTTGCGTCCAAATAGAAAATAGAGTGCAGTATACAAGATTTTGTATTTGTTAATTAATTTATCATATATCAATTATACATGTTATATTGCCTTCATTGACTTTTTCGAGTTCTTTTCAAAGCGACCAAGAAAACATGTGTGATCTTCTTGAAATTTGACCAAGATATGCTTGCAGTGCACCCCACGCGATTCCGTGATAACACATTCTCTCTATTTATTACATATATATAATGCATTTGATTCCAAGAATTGTCAAAAAGCAAAGAACCATTCGATCAAACAAAAAAAAACCAAAGAACCAAAATCCGAACAGTTCAAAATGGCAAACGACAACTTTGATGACCAACACAATGACGTGGTGGCGGCCGTAATGGTCCCGCTTCCGGCGCAAGGCCACCTCAACCAGCTCCTCCACCTCTCCCACATCCTCTCATCTCACGGTCTCTCCGTCCACTTCGTCGGAACGCCGTCCCACAACCGCCAAGCTCAGGTACGCCTCCACGGGTGGGACCCAGAAGCCACTTCTAAGATCCACTTCCACAATTTCCCAATTCCAGCTTTCCCAATTCCGCCTCCCAATCCCAACGCCACCAATAAGCTTCCCGTCCACCTCTTCCCTGCCTTCACCGCCACCGTTCATCTTCGGCAACCCATTTCCGAGCTAGTCAAAAACCTCTCAATTACTTCCCGGAGAGTGATTGTGATACACGATTCTCTCATGTTTTATGTAATCCAGGATGCTGCCTCCGTCCCAAATGCCGAATCCTATTGTTTCCACAGCTTGAGTGCTTTTGCGATGTACGTTAATAGTTCGGAAAGGACAGAGAAACTTCCGGCCGTTCTTCCCGACGGCGTCCCAGTGAAGGACCTTTTGATTAACGGAGGCTCGAGTTCGGGAATCCTTTTCCCTGCAGAATTGATGGAGTTCTTTAAGCTCCAACGAGAATCGAGGAAGCGTAATTGGGGGAATCTTTTCAACACTAGCAGATTGATTGAAAGTGAATATCTCGATTCCCTTGCTGAAGAAAAACTATGCGGGTCGGAGAAAAACTGGGCAATTGGTCCTTTTAATCCGGTGCTGATGAAAAATCTGGAAAAAAGATCATCTGAAAAGCAGGACAAATGTTTGGATTGGCTTGACAAACAACTCAGTAAGTCGGTTATATTCGTTTCTTTCGGGTCAAATACTTCATTAAGCGATGAACAAAATGAGGAAATCGCAAACGGATTGAAAAACAGCGGGCAAAAGTTCATCTGGGTTATCAGAGAAGGAGACAGAGGAGATGTTTTCGCGGCGGCAAAGGAGAACCAGCGAGCCAGATTGCCGGACGGATACGAAGAGGAAATAGAAAACAGAGGAATGGGAATGATTGTGAGGGATTGGGCACCCCAATTGGACATTTTACGGCATCCGTCAACCGGCGGATTTATGTCTCATTGCGGGTGGAATTCGTGTATTGAGAGTATCAGTTTAGGGGTCGCGATGGCAGCTTGGCCAATGCATTCCGACCAGCCGATAAATGCAATTCTGGTGACCAGAATTCTGAAGGTTGGCCTAATGGTTGGAGAATTCGGGCACGAAGGGGAGTTGGTCAAGGCGGATGTAATTGAAAATGCGGTTAAGAAATTGATGGATTCTGCTGAAGGAGATGAGATTAAGAAGAAGGCGGCGGAATTAAGCGATGCCATTAAGAAATCTGTAACTAAGGGTGATGGTGAGATTGTAAATAAATCCAGGACAGAAATGGATACTTTTATTGCTCATATTACCAGGTGATCACTGATTTTACTTGGTTATTAGAAATCCACAATCATGAAGAAATTCTCTGGGATAGTATAAGGAAAAAAGAGGTCAGCTTTTCAGCAGATTATGTGTTATCTCGCTGATCAGAACCTATTTCATTGTGAGAGATTGAGAGTAGTTCATTTATCAAATTTGGCTAATGGTTTAACTTTCCCATGATGATGTTTAATTGGGGTGGGTTTTCGAGTTTGGCCAACTCTTATGTAGTATCAACATACGTATATGAGAATGTTCTGTACTTTTTTTCAACCAAAGGAAAAGAGTCATTTCAGTAGATTTATGTAAGGAAGAGATTATATAATAAAGTTAACCCAAAAAAAAAAAAAGAAAAGAAAAGAAAGGTCATTCTGATCTTTCAAGTACCATTTTGGCACCTTTGATTTTGATTTTTTTTTTTTTTTTTTTTTGGATAACTCAAATATTTACGAGTACTAAAATCATGCATGCTTCAACAAAACAACCTGAAAACTTTCAATTTTAGTTATATACTAGTAGTTTAGATTTAAGTTATAACTCGACAAAGTATCCTTAAACCTTTTGGATTCATTGATTAAGACTGGCATAATTAACCAAGTGTGTAAGATTAAGACAATATAGCAAGCCCGCCATAGCTGACTAGTCCTCGTTTTCAAATGTCAACTACAGTAATACTTCTGTTTTCTACGGAGTATATGACTAATACATCAATTAGAATTCACTCTTCAGGTTATCGAATCTAATCTAGAATCTTTTTTTCAAAAAAAATCAAGAGTGGTTCTCCACTTAATCCCATCATAACTCAAAACTGTGACTTATTGGAAACAAGAGAATCGTCTCTACTCTCGAATCTTTTACACAGCTTTTTTATTAATTAATTTTTAAATTCTTAATTTTATTTGATTTTTTATCTATCGCTCTATCCCTCCGAAACAACATTATTTTTTTTCTTATAACTTTATTTTCATCTATTTTCACTTATAGTAATAAATTATGTTAATGATAATTAATAGCAACCCATTATCGTTAGTCCTTTTGTCAATTTTTAAATAACTACTTTTTTCAAGACATGACTCTGATTACATTGAACTAATGAACTGCGCCAATCCATCTCTCACAGTTTAAATTGACTGAGATAAAGTTTTACTTTCTCTGGTACGTCCTAATTATAATACTCCATAATGTTAATGTGTACTACTTTATAATTAGGATTGGGAAAATACTTTGTAACGGAACTGATGCTTATTGTAACTTGGGGAATGAGAGTAATTCAGGAATTACACCGAGGAGAAGTAGATTGACGTTATTCTTTCTTTTTTTTTTTTAAGAAATAGATCAGAAACACAACGGTTATTTATACAAATTATCAATTGTTTAAAAGAAAATAACGATCATATCAATGAAATCTATGTCCCTGTCAGAGAGTGGGCAAAAAACAATAATATGTGATCTTCTCGGAAGTAGAAATCGATAAGCTTGTAGTGCACTGCAAGCCATTCCTGAAAGGCTGAAAAAATTCCACGAATTTACTAACCAATCATTGCTCTATAAAATGGAATCTGCCCATAGTCAATAGTCAGCAATATATATACACATACATACACATATATATATATATATAATTTCTTTCAAGCAAAATTCCAATAATGCAAAACGACAAAGTTGATGACGTGGTGGTGGTCATGGTGCCACTTCCGGCACAAGGCCATCTCAACCAGCTGCTCCACCTCTCTCACATCCTCTCCTCCTCCGGCTTCGCCGTCCGTTTCGTCGGAACGCCGTCCCACAACCGCCAAGCTCAGGTCCGGCTACATGGATGGAATCCAGAAGCCACCTCAAAGATCCATTTCCAAAACTACTCCATTCCACCTTTCCCAACTCCGCAACCAAACACCAACACCGCTGACAAACTCCCCGTCCAACTCTTCCCCTGTTTCTCCGCCTCCCTGCACCTCCGGCAACCCATTTACGAACTCGTCAAAGAGTTATCGGTTTCATGGAGGAAAGTGATTGTGATACACGATTCCCTCATGTTCTACGTCATCCAAGATGTTTCTTCCGTACCAAATGCCGAATCCTACTGTTTCCATAGCGTCAGTGCTTTTGTGTTGTACATTAACAGTTGGGATAGGGCGGAGAAACGGCCGTTTGTTCTTCCCGACGGCGTTCCGATAAACGACCTCTTGCGCGGCGGCTCACAAGTCCTTGTCCCTGAAGAAATCACTGAGTTTTTCAAGCTTCAGCAAGAATCCAGGAAGCGTAATTGGGGAAATCTCTTCAACAGTAACAGATTAATAGAAGCCGATTATCTCAACATCCTTGCTGAAGAAAAACTATACGCCTCGGAAAATCTCTGGGCAATTGGTCCCCTGAATCCCCTGTTTTTAGAAAATCAGGATTCCGAGATATTATCTGAAATTCGGCATGAATGTTTGGATTGGCTTGATACGCAACCCGGTAAGTCAGTAATATTCGTCTCTTTTGGGTCGAATACTTCACTCTGCGATGTACAAATTGAGGAGATCGCAATTGGATTGAAAAACAGTAACCAAAAGTTTATCTGGGTTGTAAGAGAAGCGGACAGAGGAGATGTTTTTGTTGAAGCAGAGGATGGCCTGAGAGCCAGATTGCCGGACGGATTCGAAGATGAAATAGTGAAAGAAGGAAAGGGAATGATTTTAAGGGATTGGGCTCCGCAATTGGACATTTTACGACACCCGTCGACGGGCGGATTTATGAGTCATTGCGGGTGGAATTCGTGCATTGAGAGTATCAGTTTAGGGGTAGCCATTGCAGCTTGGCCGATGCATTCCGACCAGCCGATAAATGCAATTCTGGTGACCAGAATTCTGAGAGTTGGGCTAATGGTTGGGGAATTCGGGCACGAAGGAGAGTTGGTGAAAGCGGATGTAATTGAAAATGCTGTCAGGAAATTAATGGATTCGGCTGAAGGAGGTTTGATCAAGAACAGGGCGGAGGAACTAAGTGATGCCATTAAGAAATCTGTGATCAAAATCAAAGGTGGTTATGGAATTGAGAACAAGAGCAAGACAGAGATGGACACTTTTATAGCTCATATAACTAGATGATCATTTTTGTTTACTTGATTTCTTTCCATTAAAATGAAGATCCAATATCATAAAGTTTTGTATCATTCGTTTCTCAGAGGGAAATGTCACCATGTTTAATTGTATTACACTATTACGTTAATGGTTGTGCCATGAACTCCAAGAGGCCAAAATATGTCATAAAATCCTCCCTTCCGAAAGTTCTTTTTTATGGAGTGAGATGTAAATTCAAATGCCAATATCTACTCACAAAAAAGAAAAAAAAAAAACCAGAAAAACCAAAATTTTCTCAGTGAATCTCGAATATCTCCAATATTATTCTTGTGGGAAACTGTGAATAGGGGCCGGAATTTTTTCTTAAGAAGTGGTTCAGAATTTTAATGTAAGTAAATTCTTTCTTTTTTGTATTTTCGTCCTTACAAAATCATTTTTGGATCAATTCGCCTCTTTAATTACAAAATCCTAACTCTACCTTGATTTTGATCTACTTTGGAGATGGAAAGATGCAATGAATAAACGGAAAACTCTGTATTCTTATGGCTGTTGAAAATTTCATAATTTAGACAAGGGTGTTACATTTTTTAAGCATCTGGATCTTGGAACTATGCGAGAAACCCAACAACGTAGATATTGATCAAGAACAAAATAATGTCCGCACAAAACTCTGCCCACAAGAATACATTCACATGGTGACCTTATTTTGAATTACCTGCTAATGTGAGCAATAAAAGAATCCATCTCCATTCGACTCGCACCTTCAAGAACAGAGGATTTCACAGCTTTGCTCAATTCCTTTGCCCTTTCCCTGATCTCCTCTCCCTCTGCAGAATCCATCAATCTTCTCACCGCATTTTCAACAGTTTCGGATGTCACAATTTCATATCCGGGTTTCCAATTGATAACATTCAGACCAACTTTCAGCTCCTCTGTTATCAGCGCAGAATTCGCCGGTTGGTCCGAATGCATCGGCCAAGCAGCAATCGGCACTCCGTGGCTGATGCTTTCAATGCTCGAATTCCATCCGCAATGGCTCATGAATCCACCTGTCGATGGATGTGCAAGAATCTCCAATTGAGGTGCCCAATCCTTAATGACAATTCCTCTTCCTTCAGTCCTACCCTCAAATCCTTCCGGCAACGGAGCATTTCTTCTCGCTTCACCATCTTTAAACAAATCCCCTGTATCTGCATCCCTGACGACCCATATGAACTTTTGCTCGCTTTTCTCTAACCCGATTGCGATCTCTCTGATCTGCTCATCTGAAACTGCTGTCGTCGAACCAAACGACACAAAAATTACAGAATTCGGAGGCTGCTTATCCAGCCAATCAAGACAACAATGTCTCTTCTCTGAGTTCAACTCCTTTTTGTTTATCACAACAGGATTGAATGGACCAATTGCCCAATTCTTGTAACTACTTGATTCCTTCATCTTAGCTACGCCATCGAGAAACTTTCCCTCTATGGCTCTGCAGGAATTGAATAAATCACCTGAACTCGAAATCGGTTTCTCAAACTGAATTCGAATGTATTCTTCGAACTCTGCAGGGTAGTTCCTCTCAGGCAGAGTTTGGAATATTTTGGATTCCGAAACTTCAGGTTTTCCTACATATTCCCGAAGGTAGAAGTAGGCAGCAAAAGCCGAAACACTCTGAAAAACGAACGATTCGGCGTTCGGGATCTCACCAATGTCTTGGATAACATACGCCATCAGGGAATCATAAATGACAACTAATCTTCTCGTAGTGTTCGACAGTTGTTTCATCAAAGAGAAAATCGGTTCGCGAAGATGAATCGATGCGAAAAAGGCGGGAATGAGTTGGGTTGGGTATCTGGTGGAACTATATGGATCCGCAGGAGGTGTTTCATAGGAAGGAACAGGGAATTCATGGAAATGAATGTTGGAAATGGACAAAGGATCCCAACCATGGATTCGGGTTTTGGCCTGGCGGGTGTGGGCTGGAGTAGAAACGAAGTGGACAGGAATGTTGTGGGATGAAATAAGGCGGGAGAGGTGGAGGAGTGGGTTGAGATGGCCCTGTGCCGGAAGTGGAACCATTAGTACGTTCACCTCTTCCATTTTCCGGCTATTGTCATGAATGGCCATTATTTGGGATTTTGTGGTGTGAAGCAAAACGATACTGGATTTTATAGGGAAAGATAATTGTTATTTCTGTTTTTGTTTTCCCGAATGGTTCACTGTACCTCCTGATTACAGAGATTATGTGATGATTTGTGCAAATTTAATGCCATAAATTCTAGGATATGATAATCAGAAAATCACCTGCACCAATTGGTTCATTCATATGCCTGGATACACAATATGGTGATTGTATCAATTTTAAATGTGATACATCATTGTTATATCTTGTTAACTAACTAATAAATATCATGATTTAAGAAATTAATATTTCATATTTTCCTGCATTAGTTTATGGAAAATTCTACAATCTCGAGGGTTCGGTCCCGTTAAAATTTAACTAATAGGAAAGTGACACATTAATATATTATTAAAATTTCCGGATGTTTATTTATTTTTTTTTTTGACTTGCTAAACAGGTAAACTTACCAAAATTTAAAAAATTGAATAATTTAAGAAGGTTTCAATATTTAATTAACAAAATCATCATTAATTAATAATTAAGTTTCTTTTTTTCATTATACGTATTGCACAAATACTTATATATGATTGCACATTAGTTTATTAAACATTGCATGTCATTAATTAAAAATTAATTGCACCATATTTTGTTTCCTTTTATTTTTATAGTAAGTTAAGAATAGATATCCAAGCATTGCACTTTTGAAAATGCAATTGCACATTAAAGAAAAATATATTGCACGTTCACTTTTAAACAATTGCATTATACCAAAACTTTTCATAATTTTTAATTAAACTTTCCTATTTTATTTTTATATTACAAAAAAATCTATATGTGATTGTGCATTTGTTCATTAGAAATTGCGCATATATTGATACATGATTGCATATTGGCTCATAAAATATTACATCATCTCTCATATAAGTTGTTTTTTATGATTTTAATTTTTTATTTACAACTTACTCATATTCCTTGTAATATTGCTTTGATCGATTATTTACGTATTGACTTGAAAAATAAATTTTTACTTACAACTTTTTTTTTAAAAAAAAATTAGCATAAAACTTTATTTTTTAAGCATTATTTCTTCAAACTGGTTTTTAGTGTCTATCGAAATGTTGAACTACCTTTCTTGCGAATTCTTTACCCTGAATATATTTTTTAAACCAACTACTATGAGTATGATTATTAGAAGAGCAAGACTGTTTAAATCTCAATATCCAAGGTCGTGTATACATGAAGGGTAAGGATATAAAAACTACCCATTTAGAATTGTTATCATCAAATTTTAGTAAGGTCATGTATTCCTCATTTTATTTTTTCTTAATATAATAATAATAGTCATACAGGCATTGTACATTCAAGAAAAAAATAAATCGTAAATTTTACTTGTAAACAGTTAATTTAATGATTGCTCATAATTTTTAAATAATTAGAATTCATTTTAGTATAGTAATATGCTCTCATTTATTCAAAAAATAACTTCATCTTCTTCCATTCTCCCTAATTCCAAAATCTCTAAATATTTTAGAAGCAAAGAACAAGATAGTTTGGTTTCGTAAACATAAAAACAACAAGCAACAAATTAAGGTATATTATTCATTAAAAAAACACTAAGCAATTTCCATGGCATGAATATGGAATTGCACCACTACAAAAAAGAAAAAAAAAAAAAAAAAAAAAAAACTAGCGAGAGAGGGGGAAAGAGAGATAGAGAGAAATTAGGAGAAGATTTCCAATTAAACTATATACGTTAAATAACTAACTTTGGGTTTCAGATTGCCTGTAAAACAGGGTTTCTTATTTTATTCAATTAATACAAATTCTATGGTTGTGATTAATTTAAATTGAACTAATGGCTATTAATCAAATAACGGCACCATACCCTTAAAATTGTGAATGGGACTATAGCTTTGCCCTTAGTTTATAATAAATTTAATATATGTTTTTACTATACATTATGACTTTCCTTGACCACGAGAGGAATAATGTTGAAATTGTATGGGGAAAAGAAAGTTAAAATTTCAACCACTTTTGAATATGGAATTGCATCATCAGTTGCATTAAATTCTGTTTGACCAATAGTCTTGCATTCTTTCGGAAAACATTCACTCCTATCCAATCAGAATAGAAATCCTGTCAAACGAATTAGTCCTTGAGCCATTTTGATTTGTCCTAAGTTTCATCTGATACGTATTTTTTATTGTCAAAAAAACCTTGATTGTTATGAAATATTTTTAAGGTTTTTGATCTATTAAAATTGTATACTATGTGAAATTTAAGAAAAGTCAAAATATCTTAAAATAAGGATCGGATGAAGTATTTTAGTAGTATTATTTATGAGACACACGAAATGATATTTGTCACCAATTAATGGATTTGTGACATTCTGTTAATTTGGAACAAATACTAGTCTTATATGTGTCGCGCGTTGCGTGACCAGTGTTTCGGTTGATTTTTTTTTAATGATTTTTGTATTTGAAAATGTTATAGTTAATTTCAACTACACGTTCCATAACAAACTTAATAGCTTCTGGAAAAAAGCGAAGCAATTGTTTTTTATTTTTTTCTGGAAAAAACATTAGAATATTGTCCAAATTGTTTTGTTTTAAAAAAATGAATATTACAAATTATCCTAAGAAAATCGAAAGGAAAATACTTGTGTGTGTTTGTGGGACAAAAATACTTGTCCAATGTTAATACAGTTTAGCAATAGTCATCATCCCCGTAGCCACTTATTCATCGAGTAAAAATAGTATGAAATGTGATGTTGATACCATAATTTCCAAGTCAAGCACTATGATTATGCAATCTCTTCACATAATCATTGATTAAAAATTTTAGAGGATGAAATTCCTATGGAAACAAAATTGGATTGATTGAAATGGATCAAAGTATAGACACCAACAACAGGGAGAAAGAAAAAAGAAAGGTGCAAAGAAACATCAAAAATATAATATATTTGTTGATAGATTATCTATCACTATTTTCAACTTGCGACCCCTTGACTAATGAAATCTTCAAATCGAGCGATCAATGATCAGGCCAGAAAACAGCATAAAAGTTGCTGCTAGCCTGATGTAGCAGCAAACAACATCGTTCTTATTTAAACTTTAGCTCTTTCAAAATGAATCAATCTTTTACCGTGCTACTCGATGCTTTTACGGAAAAACCATAAGAAGCTATCTCCTCTGGAATTGCGCTTGCAACTTGAATGCATCAATGGAAACTGAACCCACGGATTTGGTTGTTCTTCAGCCACTTCCCTACACCAACATATTGGGAAACTGCACGTATTCAGATAAGCTTTATTCTAGCCTATATCATTGCCATACAATTTCAAAAACAAAAACAAGAATAAAGAATATTAACACCATATAAGGCCTGAGAAATACACTACTGTATATATGTACACATAGTATTCAGCACGCATGATTTATCTGAACTAAAAACTACATATATAATTCCTGATTTTCGGATACACAAAGAAACAGGAGATGCAACATACAAGAGCAACAACAACACATCAAAACAATCCCAACAAGACACAACAATAATCAGATAATCAAAACGGGAAGTAGGTCATCAAACTTAATCATTCTTGTAATTATGATTCTTCATGACTAATTAGTCAGTACGAAAACGATCAAAACAACAATAGCAACAACATACGCAGAAACTGCACGGGTGCTGTTGAAATTATTTAATCAACAACTACACACAGATCATGCTTTAGACAAGCTTTAATGTAAATCAACATTATTAGTCAGACGTCCAAAAAGCAGCTCAGTCGATTCTGAGCAAGAGAGCAAGAACAGATTAAATTAATCAATGCCAACTATCATGTCTGATTAAAAGAGAAAAGTTGTAATCAAGAAAACCAAGTTATATATGACGGTCAATGCCAACTGTCAATGACTACTAAGCAAACCAAGTTGTAATCAATGCCAACTACCAATGTTGACGCATAATTGAACACATCAAGTTATAGCAAACTTATAATAGCAAACTCCCTGTTAATCTTAAACAAGAAGGATAAAAACAATAACAATATCTTAGGATAGAGGATGGAAAACTACCTGCGTAAGAGGATGGAAGCTTGAATTTGAAGAAAATTCTTTGCTAGAGTTGCAGAAGAACGAGATTGCACTTTGGAGGAGACGGAATCTGTTGTCATGAAATACTAACAGTTAAGTATTGAATTTAACACATCTCTAAAACAGAAAAAGTATTTATGCTATTCAACGCTCATGATTCATAACTATAATAAGACAGAAATAGTAGGAAATTATTCAATTTCAAAAAACGCACAGAAGCAAACCAACCACGATAAACCAAAATACAAAAACTCAAAAACTATAGAATCGGAATAAAAACTGAAAACTCAAAAACTATGGCAACCACTTAATTATGGGATAAACCATAGATTGTACCGGTTTCGAAGCAGAAGATGCAAAGCTGTAGAGAGAGCTTGGGGTGGTTCTATTTGTGAGATTTGATGGTGTTCTGCTAATAAAAGAAAATTCATAGTCTTAAATCCATCTCCGAAAACGCTAAACACACTCGCTACTTATGAGACGAGTTTGCCTCCGTAGCGGGAATCTTATGGTTTCACTTCGGAATTCGGACGCCATTTTTTTCTTTTTTGAATCCCAAAATACAGATTATCGTGGGTTTAAATTCTCCATACACCGTTGTTGTTCTAATTCTTTTAAAATTAATTGGCAAAAACCTAAAAGAGCACAATAATTCCAAATCAGAATGCTTCTAGTTTTCTAGTTTTACCTTTTCTCTCAACGACTGCACTTCCAACATCGGTAGTATAGCCCTAAAATTTTTGAGTCTTCAAGTTCAACAGCTACAAAGGCAAATTTATTGTTCCAAAAACCAAAAGTCACGACAACACAAAGTTGATAAAGAATGTTATGAAAATGCTCAGTAAAGCAATGTTCGCAAAAGATGTACATTAGATCAGAAC